TTTTTTCTGTTTCTTCGTGGGGTCGTGTATGCCGGGTTTTGAGACCACGGGCTCCCAACCTTTCATTTTTAGAGCTAATGTGAGAAACAACAACAACAACAACAATGTTGTTGTACTTCGTATTGGTTTAATATTCATGTAGAGTATGAGACATTAAGTGAAAGTTCTCTGAGGTACATCTATCTGCAATTAATTGTCGGAAGGCAAAAAAAATATATATATAGTCTACATGGAAACCACGTGGACACACACACACTTTTCATTGGTCAGCCGGTTAGCGCGGTCGACGCTAATAATAAAAGCACACACACATCACACACCCACACAGCTGCAGACACCATGCCCTGCGCGGCGGGCAGTCGCTGCACGGCTGTCCCCGATCACACGCCAAGCCCGCCGGCGTTCACAAATCACCAATGTATGTAGAGGAGTCTGCGGGCAGTACCTCCATGGCACCTGTGGTGTGGTGGACCCTCAGGGCACCTCCGAAATGCATCGCATCTGCCACAACTGCCTGTCCTCCTGTTGGTTTCTTGGGTTTGTGTTATTTGTACGGCGAGTGATGTTTTGATATTGTGAAGCTCTTTTTTTTTCGTTGACTTGTGTTTTTGTCGGGGGTTTAAATCGATGGGATGAGAGGTATGAGGGTGTTATGTTGAGGGTACGGTGGGAGGAAGGCGTGCATTGTGTAAACGGGTGCGTCGTTCTTGAGTGCTGGTGCATTCGTTGCCTCGTGTTGTCCTTCTAGAAAAGGTGCGACTATGAAACACAGCTCTAAAACAACTCAACCAAAAACCTTTTTTAACGTGTCCACGTGCAACATGTGCACCGCATCACACAACGATGATTTATTTTCCGAACGCAGATCCACCAAAAGCGTACCACGTACAGCAGTACTTGGGTCCACGTGCTTGCCAACCAAGAGAATGAGCGGTGTTTGGAGGTAGCCCGACGTGGTAACGCTAGCTGCGCAAGTGACATGCATGATACGCTCTCTTCATGACCTATTTTGGCATTCGAGTGTAGTCAGTGCGCGAGAGTCCCTGTTTCACGACCTTTAGTTTTGTCTACGACATAAGAGAATATTCTCTTATAGTGAGATACTGTTTAAGAGAATTCTCTCTTATACCGTAGCCAACACGATATAACAGAAAGCCGGATTTAAGAGAGTGAAATTGGCTTAGACCGATCCTCTCTTAAACCGTAGCCGCTACTGTAGTCGAAAAGTAGCCGTTACGTAGGACGCAGCTGGGACAACTTGAAGGGTATGTGCTGAGAGGCTTTGGATGATAGTGCGGAGTCCCCGTGTTCTCTCGAGAGTTGGGGCCTCTCCTCCTTCTCCCTCCCTCCTCTCTCATGCGAGCTAATACACACAGTTAAACAGCAGCCCCAAGTCCGCCGGCCCTTAACAGGGCTAGGGCTCACGAACACGCTAGCGTTCGTCCTCCCGGGAGGATCCGCAAGACGGTGCGGGCTATGCCAAGTGAGAGGCAGCGGGGTTCCAGCAGCCAAGGTACGCAACTCTGAACTAGACGCTTTCTGACTGGAACGGAGCAGTAACTGAACGAGTGGAGATGACAGAGGTGCAGGAGATGATGGGGATGCTGCCATCGCTACTGCAGGCCGAGTCGGAAGGGCAAGGCCAGGAGGGGTCGGCGGCGCTGCAAGAGGGCGCCGCGGGTGCGGCGGAATTGGGGGTTCCGCCGAGCAGCCACCGAGAGCTGTATCCTGCGGTGGTCGTCAGGGAGGGCGACACTGCTGGAGGAGAGAGCAGCGGTTTGCCGGGCGTGGAAGGCGCCCTGGTGCGGGATGTAGAGGTCCCTGCTGCAGGTGGGTTTGGTGCATTCCAAGACACCAACTCTCTTCGTTGTACGTTCGGCAGTGCTTGCGTACAGCAGTCTGCTGCCGCTGGAGATACTGGTGAGAGTGTCACAGCAACCGATCAATCCATTCAGGGGAGGTCGGGTGGAAAATGCGGCACGGCGGAAGGGTCGTGTCCACTGTTCTGCCTTGCTGTAGTAGCGGGCGGGGCGCACAGAAGTCGCCGGAATTGATGGTGCAACAGAATGGACGGAGGGGCCGTGAAGTCGCGCAGTTTTGGCGCGCACTCCATCTGCGGTAAGGCAGTGGATCAACATGAAAGGCGTTAGAGTAATCGGCGCAACAGAACGGACTGAGGGGCCGTGAAGTCGCGCAGTTTTAGCGCGCATGCCATCTGCGGTAAGGCGGTGGAGCACCAGGACGGTAGAGAGACCGTTGG